GAAGAAGAAGAAGAAGAAGAAGAAGAAGAAGAAGAAGAAGAAGAAGAAGAAGAACCACCACCACCACCACCACCACCACCACCCAGAGACATGCATGCTGTGGGTCATATCCACTCTGTATCTGACTATTACTCCTTAGAGCTCTTGGCCCTCCAGCACATGAAGTGGGGCCCCCAGGCCACTCGGGTCTTGGGGAAAGCAGCCAAGGCTGGACTGCTGGAGGGCACGATTAACAGGAGAGGGGCTCAAATCGTCACTGCTGCCTTTCCCTCCCTTAGAATCCCACTGCGTGGAAAGGCCTGTCGACGGCGGAACAAGGGACCTGGCTGACCTTTCCTGAGAGGGCCTGCTGAAGACAGGTGTGGGTTGCTGGTTGTGCTGCTGGGGGCGAGGCTCACAAGGGGGAAGCGGATCTTTGGGGGACACAGGAGCGAAGGCGGCCCCGGGGCAGCGGGGGAGAAGCTGAATAAGGAGGAGCTGTAACTGGGCCGTCGGCCTTCCCGCCTGTTGCCGTCGATGGCGGCCTGCAACTCAGCAGGGGAGCTTAAGGACTTCTTCTCACATTCGTAGGCGTAGAGGTACTTCATATACCTGGGGAGAGAAACAGAAGAGGCTCAGCTGGTCAGGAGGCTGTGTCTGGGCGCAGGAGAACTCGAGGAAGGGGCAACACATTGCGCTAAGGCACACAGTGGGCGGAACGCTGGCCTGGGTTCGTATGACATGCTAAGAGCTAAACCATGATTCACAAACCACACTGCCGGGTTTCCTCCCCCTGTTATGTGCAACAGACAAACAACAGGATGGCTTAGCCCAGAGGCAGGCAGCTTCAATCAGCAAAAGGACTACACCACTTTTGGCGTGGCAAGTTGAGGGCCGCAGCCTAATTTGGGAGGGGGCTTTTGCTAAAATATAGGGCTTCAAGATCAAGAAAGCACCAGGGTTGTTTTTTTGTTTAAAACTCCCCCAAATGCAATAAGGGACCCCATGTTTTGGCTCCACTTATTCCGAAAGGGCTCTGGGGTCACCAAGGGATGCTGCAGAGGCCCTATGGTCATGCATGGCACCCTTGTTACACCTCAGGCTTGTTACACCTCAGAGCTGGTGGTTTAACATACCAGGCTGAAGCAAGTCCAACACTCTGTATCTAAGAGACCAAAGGCAGGGATGCATCTGACTCTTTTCCTTGTAATGCTCCCC